TTTTTTTTTTCAATAAGACTTTTCTCAATTGCTCTTTACTGCATGCAAATTATGGGATAGCAAGAGAGCTGTTTACCTAACATCCTATTGATTTCCCTCAATGGAGAATTCAAGCATGTCCTCGGGATTTACAAATGTATCCTTATCTCACCTTTCTGGAACTGGTAGGCTCCCTGCATGGTGAGAGGCTGAATGACATAACCAAGGTTACATTGAAAATCCAAGCTGGATTCATCTTTTTGAGCCTTTCACCCAGGGCCTTGACCATAATACCATCTTCACCATTTTYTTCAAGCACAAGGCAGGCTACCTGMAGATGACTGCCAGAGGTTTGGCCTTATGGCTATTCTTCTCCTGGATGACTTGCAGGTCACAGGTCTGGGATGTTCCGGCAATGCTGAGGAGAGGGGCAGAGGATGCCTTTTTAAAAAGCTACCATCTAATTATGTCAAAGGATGTGGCTGGAGAAATGTACTTGAAAGGTCACAAAAGTTTGTGATGGCTTCTTGTTGCTGTGGGAGGGCTCACYACCCTTTGACTCCATCTCATATTCAGGAAGTCTTGTCCCAGATGTCATGGATGTAATGCCTGATTAGTAAGCTTGGATCAGGATTCAGTGGTTAGCCTGTACAGGAAGTGGCTGAGAGGAGGAATGAGAAGTAAGCCATGCTGGTGAGCAGAATGACTACAGGACACAGTAATAGCTGGATTGTCTGAGCAGCCACGGGCCTCTTATCAAGGTACTTTGCACTGCTACAGGCAACAAAGGCTTGGATAACAGAAATCGAAAGAATGGGATCTCCTGGCAAAATTGCAGACAACTCTTCTTCTGTGAGCATATGCAAGTCTGATGAAGAATCTAAACATCATAAATCACAGTTTGACATGACCACCGGGGCTCTTCAGCCAAAGGAAGCTTCATTGCAACTGCAGCATTCTCAGATATTTCCCTTCACACATTAGTCCTCTGCCTTATTCTGGCCTTAYTTCTGCTTCTGGTTCCTCTGGGAGTGCTATGCTATCCTCACATTCTTGGTGTGATCAGAAAGGATGAAAAATACAGGTGTCTCAACTGCATATTGCTGACAGTGGCTTCTAGAAACTTAGCTAAAAAACTACCTTTGATTTCCTGCTATTGCATTCCACAGCTAACTTGTATACTACCTTTTGTCCCTCTGAAACGTACTGATGTTCATTTTCTAAGGTCTCTTGTTTAAATTTCATRGAGCTGGGTAAAGCTGACTGGTCTCAATGGCAGTCATTATTTAATACCCTTCTCCCATTTGTTGTTCCTTCTTTCTACCCTGAACACCCCCAGACCAGGTGATGATTCATGGTAGAGAGGCCAAATGGACCCATGTGACAAATAAATTTTGCTCACTTGCTTAGAACGTCWCCTGTGTCTGTCTCTTTCAGGAGAAGGTGTCCATAATTTAAGTTGCATTTGAGAAGAGAACACCCCAACAACTTTTATAGTCGCATTTATCATTTAGAACCTGGGASAGTAGTTATTTGGAGGAGCCAGGACAGGTAGTTTCCTCTTTTTCTCTGTAAACGCATTGTTGAAATTGGCTAAACCTTGGCCATTTCTCATCTTGATTATTACAAGGCTGTTGCCTTCTAGTATAAATACAAACACTGTACCTTGGTGCAATAATATTAAGCATTAGGCACACCGAGTTACCCTCTCATGAATTTCTTCMTCTTTCCTATGTTGACACAGATGAAGTACTAGGACTGAGGTAGATTAAGTGTTCACCCACATTTAGCAGGATGTCTGAGGTAGATCCACATAGGAAAAGTGCATTCTGCATGATTTAACTCACTGAACCTTTAGAGCTCTCTCTTCCTATAGAAAGCCTTACCTACCAAACATCACTCTATGATGCTGAGTACCTTTGAGAAGAAGGAATGCTTCATCGGGCCCATGACACCACCATCTGTGATCAGTATCTTTTAAAAGAGTGATCTGCTGATTCTCCAATGTCTCCCTTTAATTTGGGTACCTTTGAGTACATAAAATAATACAACAGGCTGAGAGGACTGCTCTGAGCCTGGGGAATAGGACTGGCCGGAGGGAGAGCTTCTTTGGCCTGAGTTTTCTGAAATATTTCCAGCTCTTCTTCTTACCTGACAATGTTTTCTGCAATGTATGTTGTGGCCAGGGAGTAGCCACCAAAAATAAGCTCTTTCTATTGAGTCTGGCTCCAGGAGTAGTATTTCTTCCACATACACAGAGCCTGTGTAAAGTAGCTCAAGGTTATGATGCCAACAACAGCAGCTTGATGAAATTTGCTTTAAAATCCGTGTCATAATATATGTATATGCATATGCCCGTGTTTGTACATTTGTATATTGGCACCTACTCTCCAAGGCTGGATGATAATTCTCCCAAAGCAATTAGAAGGCTGAATTTCAGGTCAAGATTCTGCTAAACAAAGCAGAATTCAAAGCCAAACAAATATCCACAGCCCATGGTTATAGCAAGCAAGTCAACCAATCAGTTCTGAAGTTCAAAGAAAGTTGTTTTTCAGGTGCTGCCAATGTAAGTGACATAGCTCCCAATTATGAGAAAACCAGCTTGTATTTTAAGTTTAAATGAGATCTCAGGATCAAAATTCTACAGTTCCATGCAGTACGTGATGCACAAATTTCTGATCCACATGCTTATACTTCATGTGCCTGAGAAGCCAGTTAGCAGAAGAGTATACACAGGTGCACAGACATTTTATATAATTTCAAACATCTTTCACCTTAAAGAGTTGTTAAGTAATTATTCTCTGTCAGTATTTGGGTTTCAGAAGAGAAGAATCAATTGCCTTGCTCAGGAGTAAGAAGGTTACTGTAATTACCTTGTTTGCAAGAAAAATAAGAACATTTACCTCATTTTAGGTTAGCAGAAGAAATAGCAATTGTGAAATTTATCTTTAGCCCAAATATATTTTTATTTTGCTGATGAATGTATGTTGAATGACTAACCTTTGTGCTAGTATTGTTTCCATTATTTCTGTAGAAATTTTATATTAAATTTTCCATTAAATGCTAGAATTTTTCAAGACATTTGACCAACCCAAATAAGAACAAACCACCTTGTGAGTTCTGCAGTTTAACATTTCAAGATGAGAGAACCAAAAGCCATCAGTTTCCATGCTGTAGAAAATAAAGAGTATTTTTGAACGTTTMGTTTACATGACGCCATGATCGTGCACAGCAATGTTGATCTGTTGGAAACTTGTTTGAATTAAACTGAAGAATCCCAAGGGGGATCTTATATCTAATTTTTTGAAGATGCTGCCAAGCAGTGTGAATCACAAGCATGAAAGAGAAGGAAACCTCTCTCTTACTAGATCAGCAAGTCACCAGCAGGATTAGTCTCCTGGAGTGCCTCAGAGCTGTTGGTCACCATGGAAGAGTAAGACATCAAGCAAGTTCCTCCTTCCTAGAATCCATTTCTCTGCACATCCAAGTAAGGACCAAAAGTCCAGAGTAAAGAGGGCACTTTGGCCAATGTGGGACTGGCATGGAGGTATCAGATGAACTGCCATCCAACAGCACAAGTCAGGCACAAGCAGCAAAAGGTTTTCCCCACACTGCCTTCTAACTAATGAACTGAYAGCATCTCCTACAGATCCAGAGAAKTGATTCTGAGGAAAAACAGGGACAGCTGATTCTGAGCATCTATCCATACCTACTCCCAGCTAAAGGTATTTTGAAGTTGTATAAATGCTAGACATGAAAAGACAGCAGATACTCAGCCCTTGGAAGTACAGACACTGTTTACTTGGTCTAGCTCCAAGCTGGGATTTATACCCAATGTGGTGCGACAGCTTCTCAGAATTTATAAGGGCTGACTGTTTAGGCATTATTTTCATGACCAATCTTCAATCCAATKCTGAGACAAAATTAATTTACTGCTCTGATAATACATATAATATATAATATATAATAGTGTTCTTTTTGTTAGCTTCCCTCGGTAATATTTCTAGCTCACATATGTATACAAATATGTATGTAGCTTATTTGGATGCCATTTTTATTTAATCTTAAAGACTTCTATGAACATTCTAATAAAAAAACATGTACWAATGTCCTTCTGATACTTCTTCAGTAGGCAATAACAATTGACCAGAATGGATATTACTAAGCAAAAAGCCTGACTGGATTCACTTAAGAAGTCAATGATTTCCACACGTTTGTTTCACTGACAGCACATTTGGTTCATCAGCTATATAACCAACCTGYCTGTACACTCAGGTTTTCAGGACAGGGGTTTGTGACAAAGAGACATATATCTACTTGCTGCAAGGGAAATGACAAGTGTTACTTTTTTGTCACGAACAATAATTTTGTTAAGTTGCAAAAACTAGGAAGCTGCCTAGAGAAAAGGAATTGTGCTACTGATCATTAAAACAAAATAAAACAAACAAAAAAAAAAAGCAAATTTGGAGTTCCCAGGAATATATTTTGCCAGTAAAATAATAGAATTTTTTAAAACAGGCAAAAAATCACTCCCTAGAGATAAGAAAACAAGCATCAGTACTAGGGATTTCTAAAGAACAAATTGTGCTGGAGAGACCTGATTGCTTTTTAAAATAGAATTACAAAATTAGTGGATGATGGGAACATGATGGATTTGATACATTTGGATTTTAGTAAAGATTTGATACATAAATCCTACTCAAAATTAATGCAAATGGGTTTGGCTACACCACTAGATGGAATGAAAAATTGGCTGCAGACCCACAAATAAAGGATAATGATGCATAAAAAGGTATTGTGTTAGAGGGAGAGATCTCCCTCCCAGAGATCAGCAGTCAGCTCTGTCCTATTTAACACGTCTTGACACCTTCTGCCTGAAAATCAGGAAATTTTGTTAAGAGAATGAAATATGGAAGGACATGAGGGGTAGAGCAGCTGAAAATAAAATGGCATCCCAGTAAAAACACAAGTATTGTTCAAACCACAATATAGTCATGAGGAGGTCCCTAAAAAAAAAACAAAAACAAACAAATGAGAATAACTGCAGCAGGAACCAGTGAAATGGGAATTTGCAGCAGAAAAACAGCTAAAGTGTTTGAGTAATTGAGATGCCATCCACCCCAGTATGGAAAGACCYGAAGGCTTTTACAGTATCTTTGTCCCATATATGCCTTCAGTGTGGTCCCAGGCAGGGTTTGATGGTGTAGCTGGTAGGGCAGCTCCTGGAATCTCTTCTTGCATGCTGGAGACAAAACGGTAATAGATTTTTCTGCCTTAACAAAGGCAGAAAATTCTGCTGTAATAGATTTTTCTCCCCAGAAACAACCAGTGTGGACACAGTGAAGTCAGTCTGATTTGGGAGGAGGGCTTTTAACAAATCCTCATTCATTTTTTAAAATTGTAAAACCAGGAAAGGAAATGGCAGCAAGGCAAATTAAATGCATTAACAGCAGACATAAATCCCCATTTTCCTAATGTTTTCCCATTTTCTATCACCCATTCTGTCCATTTGCAATTTCAGCTATTAATCATCTAATCTTAACATCCATCCACAGGTACACGTGGACGTCCCAATGACTTTTGAACCTGTAGGCCAATTTCAGGTAGGTAATACATTTCTGYACATTATATTATATTAATTGGCTGACTAAGAAAGAAATCCAATGACTKCTCTCTCTGAAGTGTGAGCATATCTCCTGTAAGGTATCAGAGAATCTATACATGATGCAGCCTTGAGAGACACATCCACAAGGAAAACCATACTTCCTTGGCTGATGCCACAACTCATGAAACTTCTGATTTCCTCTGATCTCCTTCTGGCTGAAAATCACCACCTATTCTAATTTGCTTCCGTTGTGTTTTGATTTTTTCATTATTCTTCTTCTTATACTGCATTTATAATAGTCTGCCTCCTTCATTTCTTTGCATTTGCTCCAGCCTCCTGCCCATGCCTTTGTGTCTTTCAAAATGTACTGTTTTACCTCTCTTGGTCTCCTGTTCTCTAAGTCCCTACTTTTAAACTCTTCTCACTTACCTGTATTTTTCTTTCAGTCTTCCATATCACTCTATTTCCACAGTCGTCTCCAAAAAAACTTGCTAATAATATTTTGATACTTGCTAGTAAACCTCCTGTAAACAGTACCCAGATGCATACACAAAGGGGGTACACTAATATTTATTGTAGCAAGTTCCTCCCTCTCCAAATTATTGAAGTGAATGAGAGAAATGATCTCTCTTTTGCTAGAGAAAATCGTTTTAAGCTCCCTAGAGAGCTGCAATGATCATTTAATAACATTCTCTGTTAAGGCAGGATCAGACCCACAGATCATCAGAGCAATAGCAAGGTTTCCAACATGGCAGAATTAGGAAAATTGTATTTTTCCTACCCTGGTCAGCAAACATTTGGACTGAGCAAGTGTGGAATTACATAAAATCTGCCAAGTAGCACTTAGGTCCTTTCTGCATGAGTGTAAAAGGCTCAGCAAGTTCAGAATAAGCGCTCTACATCAGTGAAGATGTTATAATTATTAATAGGATCTCTGTAATGCTCATAGCTCTCTCCTAAATACATGTGTACACTGTGCACACTGTGGCAGTTAACTGTGAGAAACCTTCATTTTTAGTGTTCTATTTTTAAATTCGCAATCTTTAACAGTGCATAAAGTGACTTAAAAATTAAATTCATAGAATAGTTCTTACAGKTCTTTAAAAAAAGATTAAAATGTCTGGTATTGCATCGTAATTTATTGTTATTTAAATTTCTTATGCMTGTCAGTTGCTTAGGCATTTGCATTTTTATTTATTTATTTTCCTTAAAACCCACATCTATTTAATSAAACAACACAGCAGATGGGAAGCAGTGGAAGGGCCACTCAACTGCAGCTAAGATTTTACAGGGTTGGAACTGTGCTGGAGAACCTCTGACAAGTCTCATTACATCTTGATGTCTCCTTTTCTCCTCCCACTCTTTTACTGTTTCATCTGCTATAACTTCTTGAGGACAGAGATCATCACCTAATTATGTGTTTCTGTGATTCACAGCACAATAGAATTTTGGTATTTTCTGAGGTCACCATCAATTAAATAACTTTAGTAGTGCAGYTGATAACCCAAAATGCTGAAGAGATGTCCTCCAAACACCGCTCCAGCCCACAGGCCAGGTACCATACAATTAGTAAGTGTTTTATGAATGCCAGGAGATCTCAATGAAGGCCACAAGAAGTTGCACCCTTTCCGTCCATTTTTACCTGTCTTCACAATGTTCTTGAGTACTGCTAATCTGTATGATGGATGTTCTTCATCAGAATGCCACCCTCACAGTGAGACAAAACCAATACTTTAATGCTCAGTCAATCCTTATCTGCACTTGGAAGTTAGAAATTTGACATGGTATTATTAGTACAGCAAGATGAAAGGCCAGTCAAATAGAGGTGTAACAAGCGGGACACCAATACTTCCTTGGACAAGGAAACAGAGATAAATTGGCAAAAACCAGTAATGTGTCTTTTCTCCTGGTGTCCACCAGTAAGGCCCAAACTCTTGAGGGAGACCTGACATGGGAAGTGTCACCAACCCTTACTCAGGGAGGTCACTYGACTCCTCAGCTTCCAGAACACCAAAATGGAGATGGGTGCGATAGTCTTTAGTTTTCTGCCAGTAATTTGGGACTCCTCCTTAGATCAAGACTGAAGGATCTGGAAGACAAGGTAAGTGGCCACACAGTGGAACAAGCAGTAGTTTTTCCTTTTCAGAAACTTTTCTTCTGTGACACTGGAAAGCAGTGCAGATGTGGGTTTCACTGAGCATCCACCAGAGAGCTTCAGGTCAGGTAAAGTGCTTGTGTTCAGATCTTTCTCTCAGCCTCTTTCTATTCGTGARGCAGCATAAAAGCTGCCAGCTCACTGGGGTAAGGCAGGAGCAATAAAGCTTTTCTCCTTTCCTCTCTGGGTTTCAGTAAGAGGATTACGTATCTCCTCCTTCTAGAATAAACCTCTTTGCAGAGAAGATACTTCTCAAGCCCTCTTTGGAGATCAGGCTCCTAAGATCAAAACTCCTAAGATTCAAGCCATCACAGCAGCCAGTAGGAAATGAACCCCAGTTAAAAGGGAAAGGCTTTTACAGCTCTGCAGGACTGCGGGGCTTGGACATAGTGTACATGCTGCCATGGCAAAAGGACCCTTGTTTGGTTCACAGCTATCAGAGACAGAAAAATATGGATTCACAAGCACAGGGCAGACTTCAAGCTCCATCTGAGATAACCAGAGACTGTTGCTGGAGACTTGGGAGGACATAAACCCTCCTGCTGGAACAGCTTTACCACCAGGGACAAACCGCCCAAGAAATGAAAGAGAGAGCCTCTTGCAACTTTAGCCCTTGACAAAATATGTCTGAAAACAGTACCCAAGCATGCAATGAGTACAYTGTTAAAAGAGAGAATGCAAATTACAAGCTTTAAGACATGGTTATACGTTTTACTACATTTAGCCCAAAGATACAAAGGAGTTTTAGAATGACCATAACATACAAATCAGACTTAATCATTCCCATAACTTTGGAAACCAGCAATTAACTTGTGCAAGTTACTCTGTTTACAAAACACCTATGTATTAAAATGAAAGCCTGTGTGACAAGTTAATAAAACTACTTACTTCCACTGAGCCTCCTGGAGTACACATTATTCTTCCCTTCTGCTGAGGCCATCTCAGCTGCTGTGACACTACAGACCTGCTCTGGCTCCTGCTTTGTCTTCTGTCTCTCTCTACTCCCTCTGTAGTAGGTCACTCTCTGCTGTCACATTCTCTTTACTCACGCTGTAGTAGTTTCAGGCTAGCGCCACGAAAGTACACATTTTGGTTTTAGTATTTTCTATGGCTCCTTTGGTCATCATCTTCACCTGCCTTAACCTTTGTGCATCATTTCAACGCTCCCTAACTTGCCTTTTGGAGCAAAATAATTATCCTGATACGTATGTACATCTTGCTTTTCATCTCAGACCATAAGCATCCCATCATCAACAGAGAGAGGGATAGTCTGATTCACCTCTCATCTTTCCAGCTTTCCCCTTCCTGGCCACACTGAGAGCTTTGATGATGACAACTCACAAATTTATTTCTTGATGATACCCTGGAGGTCCTGGCAATTCCTCAGGTCTCTCCTTGCTACCCACTTTCCAGGGGCAGAAGTTGACACATTGTCCTCTATGTGAAGGGAGGTCACTGGGRAGAAGGGACTGCTGGAGCTTGACCTGCTGCTACTGCAACTATGTCCTTTCTGTCTCTCTGTTGACCATTTTACTGGTTCTTCTGCACTTTTGGATGGCTGATAGATGCATCATAYGTAACCCCTTTTCCGCTCGTACACACTGTGTTTATCTGGCTTGCCCAGTGAGATGGTTGGGTTTTGGAAGCACCAGGTGCAGCTGCTGGGACCGCTGGTTGGAGAAACATTTGCCTCCTGAGCCCGTTAATTAGCACAGTAACGGTAACTGTGCTCCATTAGCCAACCCATGTGGTCAAGTCCCCTCTCCGTCCACCAACCTTGCCCTTAATGAGAGCTGGAAGGGGGACACTCACAAAACACTGCCTCAGAATAATATTCGGCTTTGTCCACGCCGGTAACGAGAGCTGACAGGATCACTACGTCCATTTCTCTTCTAATTAGCACACTTCCAGTTCGGCCTGAGCCAGCAACCAGAGAAAAGCGATCGGACAACCGTACCGAATCACAAACACAAAGAGGCCCATTCCCTGTAATTAGGTGAGACAATCCCTCAGTCTTTTCTCGGCTGGAGCTTGCCGGTAAGACTCTCGCTGTTTTGGTAAGTCCCAGCAACACAAGTTACACGTCTCCCCAGGAAACTAATAAGCCCCTAATTGTCTTCCGCTTCACACGGCTCGTACCATAGGTCTGACTTGGGGGAATTCTTCTAACGAGCGGCAGCCAGCACTCCCTGCGCCGCAGACGGACAGGGAGCCGCCTCTCGGGCACCAGCAGGAGAAGGGGGACGGGGAGAAACAGCCAGAAAAGCAGTCCAGGCACTGAGGCCTGGCTATGTGGCACAGGGCCGGTGGCTGAGCTACAGCCACACAATGCTGGGGACATGGGCCTTCTCCATCTCCACTGTCCACCTGCATGGTAGAAACCTGCATTCGACTCTAGATTGTCTTATCCTCTGTCATCTCCAGCAGTACACAGGTACTCACGCTTCCACACAGACATGCACCATCAAAACCAAACACCTGACTGCAAAGATTTGCCTCAAGTCTCTGCTAAGGCTTGCTGGGGGCTGCCCTCAGAGCAATGCTGCACTTGGCATGTGCTTTTCTCCAGTGAGGTCCTGTCACGGGTCTGCCCCAGAGTTCAGGCTGGGGAGGTGCATGTGTGTAAACAAGACCCTGTCAGTTTTCCTGTAAGGGAACATATGCTGGGTCTCACAGAACTGATTTTTAAAGATTCTCACAAAATTATTAAAAACTTGAGTTGTGAGACYCCAACTTGAGTGGTAGGAGAACCCAACTCAAGCTCTCTTCTCAAAACAAGGCAAAGAAAGATACTCCCTCTAATTTTCAACCTGACACTTTCTTCAGAAACCATCATCAGCCAAATATTTTTCTGCAAAACATTTCCATTAATTTTTGATTAAAAGTTCRTATTGAGCAAAATAGCACAGCTGATCCTGTTAAGGATACTCATGGCCTGCAGATCCATTTGCCTCTTGTGCAGCTGATTACAAACTGATCCCTTTTGCAAATCAGGGCTCACCCTAAACCCTCCCACAATGGGCCTCAGCAGAAGCAATTTGTTCCCTGTTTTTACACGTGCTATTTGGTTTCAGTGTGCAAAGCAGGGGAAAAAACCTAAGACAGGGTGACAAGCTGATCCATGCAGAGTACAGGAGAAAGAYAGGTGCCAATGCTTACCCTGAAAGGCAATCTGGGATAATCAACATATACATATATATACACAAAAATAAATTAAAACTAGCTATAATTAATAAATTAATTTAATACAGAGAGAGGAAAAAAAAACTGAAGGCTACAGAACCAGGCAGCATGAGAATCTGTGCCCATTTGGGTTGCTCTGCTCGTCTCTTGTCCCTCATTCTTAGGTAGCTGGTACRCTTTCTCCCTGCCTTTTCATACATAGCCTGATGCATTTTGGGCTATTGTAGCAAGTAGAAAATGGCAAATGGGGCAACCTTCTGCTGCTTCAAAATAAGCTTAAAATTCTGTGATTATGAAGAAAATGGTGCCTGATATTGTTGGAGGGAGAAATCCTCCTTGGCATGTAAGTGTCTGCAAGCACAAAATTTAATTACCCTATATTATTACGCCTACTCATCAGCTATGGGCCACAGAGCCAGCCTTTCAAGTGATACAGAACCAAGTCAAGTACTTTGTCCTCACAGAGATCTGGTCAATAAATAAGGTGCAAGGTCACTCTTATTACCCATTTTTTCTACTAGCAATTAAGTAAGGGCTTTCAAGCACAGCCCTCTTCCTCTTTTCTGTTCCTTACTGAGGTGTCTATAACAGAGACAGGCAGGGAGCATTCTGGCTTCACTGGTCACTGATCTGTATTATAGGAATCAGCAGGCAGGGCAGAGGTCAACCACACAAACCCAACAAGAAAACGCCTATTCTGTACACTCATCAGCTGCCTGGAGTCAGTCATCCTCCTCAAAGAGACACAGCGGAAAAGGTCAAGTCTAAAAATCGGCAGTTTCAGTGGACAATGGAGTCAAAATGTGAAGAGATCCTGCCATGCTGAAAATCTAGCACAATCTAAAATTGGCATTATTGCACATATTCTATGCAGAATGTGGATTACACTCTATAGCATCTGATCAGTCTGGATCTCTGGCCACTTAACCTTTTAAGTATCTTTATGTGGAGACTTTATGATTGGACACAATGATTGACTTCAAGATATTCCATTTCACATCCTCCTGAAAGAAACTCAAAGCATGGATGGGAAGACTGACTTGCAGAAATAATGTGCCTCTAGAACAGAWTTGATTCCGAGAATCACAGTATGATGTAAAACCAAAAAGATCCAGTCTTTTTTCACGTCCTAATCCTTGATTTGCCTTGTCTCTCTTAAAATTTGTCTCTTTTCCTTCTAAAAATATTGAGGTGCATCTCTTATCACAGCAATGTGTATTTGGCATCATGTTWGCAATACCTTTTGGATGTATCTGGCACCCCCACCCCGGCTGATGTAGGTGCTTGGGATGTGCTCACAGAAGTGCATGTTGGTTTTGGTATTTCTGTGGTGGGAAGGTTTTGCTATAATCCAGCTCAGAGTTGTTGTTCCACGGGAAATTTCTGTCCAACTATAATTCTCCTGGGCTGAAGATATAGAGACAAACTTCTCGAAAATTTTCTTTCAATAAATTATCATCTTCTACTAAAGATTATTTAATGACTTCKTAAAAAGTGTCAGTACTGACATATGAAGATGGGGTACAACACTCAGAGGTGAGGATTATTTTCATGCAGTATCAAGTTTGCATGCCACGTTCACATAGTTCACTCAGATGTGATGCATTTCCCTACTACAATTATCCTTGCTGTTTGAGGGTCTTTCTTAGGACAAACTCAAATGTGAAGATGCTTGAAGTGCTTCTCTCAAGATTGTACCTCTGGTGTTTTTGAATGACGGCTGGTTCTGGGGTAGTGTATGAATCACTGTGGACTTTCTGCAGTAGTAATTTACAAGTTGTCTTTTTCTTTTGATTGTTTATATTTAAAAATTTGTATTAGTTTATGAATGTTTATGAAATGTTTATGAGATGTTACTGAACTTCTGGGACATCAGGAGTCCAGGACTTCAGACCATGTGACAAAGATGTAATTTATCTTTTTTACATACTGCATAGGCTGATGATGGAACTGCCAGGTGTGAATTCATCAGCATGGAATGGCTGACATCACTGTCCTTGTGATCTGGAAAAATTGTTTGCCCAGCACAAGTTACTGTAGGTGAAGTGGATGAAATCAACTGCAACTCTAACTGATGATCCAGTTTTTAGAGATACTCAAAAACAGGATTTAGGTCYGGATGCTGTAAAAGAAAACAGGGTAACAAAATACAAGCTATTAATACGATGTACACACTTCAGAATATGCTTGCACTATGAGTACTCTGCAATTTTGATTATGCCAGCTCGGGCTGTAATAGAAGACAGACAACTGAACATTGTGAACACAAGGAAGGTGAACATAACCATGGAACAAAAACCATAGTAGAACCTGAAAAATCATGGGTAGTGCACAGACAGCAAAGAAGAAAAGATCCAAACAATTGTTTCTGACAATAAAAGAAATGAAAGGTTCGAAACAGAATTATCAGGTAAGCAGATTTAAAACAATTGCCCCTGCCACCCCCAACTTTTTTATATTTTTAACCTTTCTTTGTATAACTCAATTATGGAATTCACTGTCCTGGGGCATTTTTTAGGTCAGAAGTACAGACAAATTAGGGAATTTAGGGAGGGTAAGGTCTACTGTGGACCAGATTCAACTAAAACAGATTGCTGGATGCTGTGTAAGTTACCCTAAGGCAAAATCACTGTGTAAGCCTTTTGTTTATATCCTTCCCTATCCTTCTACAACTGTTTATAAGCAAAGAGAAGATTACAGATAAGACAGGCTTGTGATTTGACTTGTAATAGCACCTTACATTTTTACATAACATAACAATCAGTAAAACCAGAATAAGGTTCAAACGTTACTTCCAAGMTGGATTAGTCAATTTTCACTAATCTGTCATTTCTGGGTGTCTATTTGAGGGAAATATGAAGCAAACTTGAGCACTGWGAGTTACAGGACTGTTACAAATTGTTAATTTTGTAATGGCAAAACACTGAGTTAAATGGAATATGTTATTYGATTGCCAGTGCACACAGACTTTTATTTTGATAATGATTAACATAACAAACAAGAATTTCTTCTCAGTTGAATTAAACAGCAAAGCATTTGATAGTCCAAGACTGAAGCGAATAGTCTTTATAACTGAATGTATGTAACACTGGCATTTAAAAGGAACCAAATAAATATTGAGTTTACTTCCAAGAAACTCACAGTAACATCTAATACATGAAAACACTTTACAAAACAATGCATCAGCTTCATTATTATTACCAAATCTTGATTTTCTTACACTCTTCATTCCTATCAGTAACAAAATGTCACTCAGATTTTCTTGTATAGATAGATGACTGCATGCATGTCAGGAAGGATATCACTGAAGGCAAAAATCGGGTTCAAAAGCATATGAAAACCCTTAGTAACATTTGAATATTGACAAATATTTATTTACTGGTGGGAATGGAACATCTGCAGGCCAAACCCTGAGGTCGTGGCACGCAGATAAGTGAAGAAGAGCCCGAGGAACAGTATTGTCAAGGTGGCTAAGCAAAAGTTTTTGCATGTCAGGGAGTTGTTTTGGAAACTCAGACAAACAGAAGTCTGCATTTTCATATTGTTAAACCAGAAAGCAATAACAGACAAAAAAATTCCCTGGCTAACACACAAAAGTAGATATAAATATTGCCAATAAAAAAATAACATCACTGCCTCATCTATAAGATGGTAAGTACAAAACCAAAAAATATCACAATTCTAAAGTGTATATTAATGGCTGCTCTATAGAAGCTAAGTACAGTGTACAATAAAAGGAGATTTTTCTTTTTTTTTTTTTTTTAACATATGTATGTTACTAAAAACTACCTAGAGTTTGAAATTCCCTACTGCACGTATCAGAAAATATACATATACTTCCAGGACAGGCTTTCATATATTTTCCTATATCCTCTTTTCAGATCTCCATTCTCGAATATATTGGATCAAAAAGCTTCTATAAAATGCACAAATTCATACTCATGATACATGTGGAAGCATCCAATTATGTCATATTTGTGTACAAATATTACATATATTGTATACAAACTTAAATTTGCATTCAAAATGTATACTTCAATGCTTAAAGATACATCAGCATCAGTTTACACCATTGGGTTTTTTTCTATTCCTGAACTACCACTTTCAGCTTCTCTTCTCATTCATCTGTCTTAATTCTCATGTTCTCAAGGGATGGAATTCCTGCTCAGCTCAGCCCTGCATAAACTGTAAAGGACAGAAAAACTCAGTTGAGTGTTAAATCAGACTCCCAACATTTAAATTTGTGCAGGGTCTTTCCAGGATGTGGGATTTAACTACTTTACCTTACAGAGGCTTCCAAAATGAGCCTAGTGTTGATTGGCAATAACCAAAACCACAGACTGCAAACCAAAGGGTCACCAGCAATTCAGTAAAAATTCAAGAATCTATCTGATTCAAAAWATTCCCCCCTCTTTATTGCACACGCACCTGAAAAGAGTCTTCTCTCTCTGTAAAGCCAGAAAAATGCAGTGCTGTGAGGACAGCCTGTTACATGCACTATTTACAAGTAATTTCTGCTCTCATATGTGATTACMGCCTGAGAAATGACAAGTTTTGAAAAGCCTGCATGGTAAAAATAAGATTTCTAAATAGAAAAATCCCCATGTTCTTCATCCAATGTTTCAACATGATGTTGCACCTTAAGAAAGAACACATCCAATAATGCTTAAAATGTTGTTTTCTAGGAAAAGGAAAGAGAATGGAATGAAAAAAAATATGCTCTTAAATAAAAAAGTCTGAACATGTTCTATACGTCTTCCAAGGGGCAAATATGTAGAAGTGCATGAACAGAAAAAAAAGGCATTAAACTGTAGGAACAGTATGCTGAAAAGGAGCAGGTCACAGAAATCTCTATCTTAAAAATTCTGGTTTTGTAATAGAAGAAAATTTTGAGGTGCTGGTTTATAAACCATTATAAATACCACAAAATGTTATTTTCAGAATTGTTGTAATCCTGTATAGGCAGCCCATCCTCACAATGTGACTAACAATCCTGTTGCYACTTCTTGGAGTGCTAACTGAGAGCATTATCATCTTTCAGCTTTGTAACTTTTTCCAGTTTCTAGCTCTGCAAGAAGCAAAGTACTGCAAAAACTGACAAAGCTGTTTCTTTGTGTATTGGCCAAAGCTTCTGGGAGGATATCTTCCTTGAGGACACAGTAACACTTGTTACTCCCTGTGGTCTGTTAGTTTCAATTTCACTTAGAGAACCGCTTCACAGTGAAATTAAGCTCCTGGCACAGTGACGGTCTGGAGGGCTTCCTGGGAGTACAGACGTGCTTCTCTGAAGGCAGTGAGCAACTGGAGTCTAATGCAGAGACTGCATTTGGCTTCTACACTAAAAGCACATGCTCCTGCTGAACCAGTGCTCTTGGTCAATCCACACCCCAAACTACACCACAGCCCAAATCCTTCAGCACAGAAGTTGCACACAGGAAATCAATGCATCTAAGACAAAAGACACACAAGAAGGTCTTCAAACCAGCTACCCAGCTGAACAAGGACACTGGCTGTCCCCTTTCAACTGCTGATTAAAACAGTGAACTGTGTCACAGCGTATCAGGACCAAATCCTCCTGTTGGACATCCTATGGTCAGATGAAGACTGAATTCCAATGCAACCAACTGCAGTCCTTGTGACCTGTGCATATTGTACATATTTCCCCATCAGGAGATGAGCTGCGGAAGCAAAAAGAGATGTTTGCTCCTGAAGGTCTAGAGCAAGAGCTTTGTTCTTCTTAGAAGTTCTGTGCTTCATCTGGATCCGCACTRCATAGAATGATCTAGTTGGGGTATTTTCGTCCAAATGCAAGATGTGGCTACTTTTTGGGTTTCTCTAGGATGTTCAGGAATTTTCCTCGAGTCATTTCTCTAGCTGAAATCACAAGGGAGGAAAAGGAAATCAATGTTATTTTAAAAGACGAGAAATTCAAACAACTGTATAATTTGTGTAATTGTGTAACATATTCTATCCATAGGATAAGAAATTCTTTCAGGTTTGTGCTTGAACCAAAATCAAAACTTATTTCATTTATCTATTAGAGTGAAATATAACTAAAACTGCATTTCAGCTTGAATTCCTGACATTCTATAAATGCAGGCAGGGTCTGGAATCTGCTAAACTCAGCAATAATTCCCACAGGCTGTCTCATTACATACAATCTATGCTTTCTATTCCTACTGCRTTATGCTCTTGCAGCACCTCCTTTTCTCTGTACTATCCATCTCTGAATGGTGAAATCCAAATCTCCATCACTCTATCTCAGCAGAATTGTTCCTGGACGTTATAATCTGTCAGAGATTATGGAACTCTCTCCATTTCAGGATTATTGGTCCCTGGATGCTGTGGTCTTCAAAAGAAATTAGGCAGCATTTTCTCTCTCTCAGCAGTGTCAGTCCCTGGATGCTGTAATATAATGGGGTTTATATTCCTTCAATGCAGTTCATCTATGGATAGTGTAATAAAGTAAAGTTTATAGAGCTTTGCTCTTCTCTTTCTCTCTGCATTGTCAGTCCTTCAATGTTTAATACAGCAAGGCACRGCTTATGTGCCTCTCTCTCACTCTTGGTACCATCAATCTCTGGTAGCTGTACTACAGCAGGGTTTACACAGCCACTTTTCTGCATGAGACATTTCTGACTTGAGAACCCATAAGCTCACAAGCTGGCAGAGCAGCCCTGATAGTATCCTTGTCTTGCAACAATACAGTGYATCAAAGACAGCACCATTAGCCACTGAGGCCTGGACAAAGAATCTTCCCACTGGTGCCTCACCATTTCTTTTCAGTAAAGGTCTAAGTTTTGTGCTGGACTGGCAGGCATCGAAGCATGGAGGATTTTATTCACAGGAATGTTGAAAGCATGCATGTTTTGCACACCTAGCCTCAAAGACAGTCTAGCAGGAGATGGGAATTCATTCTCTGTTTTATCCATTCAATTCCTTCCTGACCTCTCTACTGAGRCAAACAACAGAAATTAAAATTAGCATAAAAACTGGAGGTGGGTTTGTTGTTGATGTTGTCATTGTTGATTATCTGTCAGAACAGAACTAAAATATAATAAAAATGTTCAGCTTACAATACTCAATGTGCACTCAGGTAAAGACATTCTGTTATTGTTTACA